TTTTTTTTTTTGGAAAGGGGGACACAATTCAACCCATAGCAAACGACATATATTCCAATTTCTTAAAAGTTATCTCTGTCTATTGAAAAAGGTCTCCTGCATTGATGGCGTTCTGACAGGAAGACTCATCACTTCACTCCACTTCTCTTTGGGGAAAAGGGTGTCAGCAAGAATTGAGCTTGCAGTTGAATACACCACAGGTCATAACCTGTGATGTACTCAAAAAGTATCCTGGATAATCACATTGATGATGAGACATGCCTCTGTTCTCCTGTCTTATTTGATCCTGGCTACAGGAGCTCCATCCAGCCCACTGGACACTCACAACATGAAGATGAGCACTTAACCTTTTAAAAACAATAGCATCTTTTTAATCTAGCGATCATCAATCCAGAACATGATTCCACCTGGATTACATGAACTAGTCCTTTTAGTTTTTTCACATAATTCTCTAGAGGCCTTTTTTTAAAGTCTGCTAGTGGCATCAGTTACCAGAACAATTTCTTCTAGTATGAGCCTTGGTGATCGAGTAATTACACCATGGAGAGGGCAGTTCGCAGAAGTGTGCTCCAAGTCTCTTTGCAGGAAGCAATCGCCAACCTTGCTGTAGGAAGAATATCTGGATATACCTTTGTTTGACATCATCTCCAGCAGGAAGTCCTCCCTCCTTTTCATGCATTTGTTCTATTCACTGAAGTAAAGCAGCAGGAGCCTACCCAAGAATACTCAAATCAAGGACGTGGCTGGGTCCAGCTTTCAATACGCAAATGTACTCATGGTACTTTAATTCAAACGTAAAATATAAATACATACACACATATATGTGTACATATATAAAGAGGCATGAAAAATATTTAACTATATAGATGTCAGTCATCATTGAAATTTCTTTCAATTCACTTGCATCAGAAATCACCTTTATAACCTAGGTTCGCTCACAATGGTGGGGCCAGTGTTCCTGAGGTGACACCCCCTCAGCCTCTGCTGGACTCCCTCTATGGGCCAGTGGGCGGGCCCGGATTGAGCCCCGCCTCCACTGAGCCCTCCCCTGGTTTGGGGCTGGGTGTGGCTGCTCCAAGGCGCTACTGAGGTGCCATTTTTTTCCTCAGGCTAACATGGTGATTATAAGAAGGGCAGCATCTTGCTACATTCAGGTCCATTTATGAATCTGATACATTCAAACTAACTGGGGTTAGTGTGCTGTACCTTCAGATTTTATATAAATTCAATGAGAAAATTTGCTGTCTGTTGTATGACTGTGCATTTTGCTTGATTCTTTTGCTTCATCTCAAGCCACATTTTGTTCACGAATTTTCCTCCATCTTGCACCCAACAAGGCAGTCTTAGATGCAGATGCTGAGCTGTTGTGTCACTTCAAAAAGGCGTTGGTTGATGTGGTCTTTCCTATTAGTTTTTTCATATAACTTGTCACAAGGTATGGCATGCACAACAGGGTCAAGTGTATATTGTTTTTTATCCCATCACCTTTTGGGTTATTTATCACTCTGCCTTGTTCCATTAATGTGAATATTTGTGCATTACTTCTTTCATAAAATATATAAAATATTTCCATAGAGATTAAAGGGAAATATTTAGTCAAATTGCTGGTGTCATAATAATCTTATGAATGTATATATATTTGGATATATGTGTGTATATGATATATAATATATTACATATTATAATACATAAAATGGAATATGAAAAGGCATGATAAGATATATAATATTTTAGATACACATAGAAATATATATCCATTAGAATGTTTCCCTAAGATTAAAATATGGCTTATACCTTGCCATTTATGAAAAACAAAATGATGGATACATATATCAAAAACTGGTAATTTTTGATAAACAATAAGACAACTCTCCCTCCTAGCTTCATAGAGAGAATTTAAAAAATGCAACTTTA